CGTTAGAATTTTGGTATCATTTTATGCCTACCGAGAGGATGGCGATGTAAGCATTGAGTTAGTACACGAGGAAACTATTTTTTAACCGAAACGAATTCAAAAGCCACGTTATATCCTTTACTGGCATTAAAAAGTTGCCGTACATAAGAGGATTGGGCAAAGCATTGACATAAATATTGCCTGTGTATCAAAAAAAAAAGTTAAGGTGATGCAGACGCCTAATCAATCTTAGAGCCACTAGTGGCCGCAAATCATGTGAAAGATGGCCAAATTAGTAAAGTTCATACTAGTTCTCACGAGATAACTATTGGGCCATATATGGGTTCAAACTACGTAAACATTGTCAAAACTATGACTATTGACTTATTAAAGAACATACTATGACGACTATGATACCCAGACGAACACCTCAGATGTTGAATTGAAAAAAAAAAAATCTTCGTGAACAGAACTTCGAAGGTGAGGCAAACAACAAGCTATTGGATGAAGAAGATACTCAACGAAGCACCTTGAATTGTAAATACCTAAGATTTATTTTTATTGTGCTCTATACTTGTAAAGTACGATTTGATATTGCGATACGAAGCCCGAGAAAACGCTCTCGGAGCGTCTAGTTTCAACAACTAAGTCGTCTTTATTTGTCTAACAAAAAGCAATATGACAAATGAAACGCGATTCATTCCAGTATAAAAAACGTTGGATTCAATTTAATTTTTGACAATACATCCAATCGTGATGAAAGATAAGTTTTTTCGTTTGTCTCACAATGTAGTCACGTGTGATATAGATCGCGACGTTTCGACTGCATACTGCTAGTCTTCTTCAGGCGATGAGGTCGTTAAACTTTACTTCGTTTATTGATCGTGACCCTTTATACTACACGCGCAGAGTCAAAGAGGCAATTCATTTAAGACTTCACCCTAACAACATTAACAGGGATAGTGAAATAGAAATTCCAGAAGCGTGGATGCCCACAATCAAAAAACAACAACAGGAGAGCCGTGCGACAGACGGACTGCCGAGGGAGCAAATCACTGAGTGAAACAGCAGGGATCGAAATGCACCAATCAGAGCTGTTGAAAAATAACTAATCACAGCAGAGCATCATGCTTTATAAGATCACGCATGACCAGTTGACATCATTGCCTGAAGAAGACTAGCAGTATGCAGTGGAAACGTCGCGCTCTACATCACATGTGACCACATCATGAGACAAACGAAAAACTTAGCTTATATTGTTATTCACTACGATGAATAACCACAACTTTTTTTTACGAAATACATCCGATAGGTTAAAATCTTACAGTATTAGCTTAGTGTACTGGCTCCTTTTACGTCATTGGTTAAAAAAATTATCCGTGATGTGTGATTTAGTAAAACAAATCCGCGTGATGTGTGATTGGAACCTTCCCCTCCCCCCTTTGTCATTCTCTTCACATATATGATTTTCATATATTTACAGTCATTTATTTACGTTAATTTTTTACGTGTGTTTAATATCGCCAATCAGTATCTGACACGTCACTCGCCTTTCGCGCCACTCTGTTATGTTGATGAATGAAGGGCAAAGTCTTCACCATTTTGAATCCAAGGTGGTTTCTCGAAATTTTCCCGGATTATGGCTGCTAACAACACTAAAAGATCTGTGCCGCTCACAAATAGAGACGTTTAAAATTTTCTAAAAGCGGAAGAAAACCAAAACATGAAAAGAAAAACAGAAAGTGACTTGGATTTGGAGGTGGCATTTCTCGCGGCTGAGAGCGAAAAACTTTTTTTTTATTGTTTATTGATAAAGTCGACTATTCTTGTAGTAAAGGCCTATGGTGTGTCTGTAATATACAAAATAATACATGGTTGCTTGTAGACGTGAAATTTTTCTTCTCGTGTTCAACTCACAAGTGAACGTAGCGAACGAAAGAGATATCAAGTTGAACACACGAAAAAAAATTCTATATCAACGCGCGCTCGTCTTTATTCTCTCTTTAGTCGCGTAGTGCAATTAGAATTCGCGCGTAATCAAAGCCGATAGGCTCGCGGATTGCAGTTTATTGCTTTAAGTGCCACAGGTGGCTCTGATCAAAATCGGTCCTCACGAGACACTTGCCTATTCAGATTGTGCGCGTTGTGACCAAACACTGCTTGAAATTCAAATTTTTGTGTGTAATGTGATTCACAGGTTTGGTAATTACATGCTTTAGAGGATGAAAGCGTTGGATTTTAGCCAAGAATTGCCAAGACTTCCATTTTATACAGCACCCAGCGCAGTGCTGTTCAGATGTTGCAAATTTCACGCGATTGAAACAGCGCAGCGACATGACTCATATAACGATTAGGTTGGGATCTCCGCCGGTTGGGAGCAAGAATATTCGAGAGATTATTAGAATCAAGACTCCGGAAAGTTTTGCTGTCGATACAAGAGAACAGGATATTTATATGGCTGATTCAAATTACAAAGACAACTCTAAGCAGGTGGTGCACGGTATCTGTGAAAATTTGAAACCTTTTGAGGGGTCTCCTTCAAATGTAGATGGAGACGAAAATGTTTACGATTACGTTCATAATGGTGCAAGATCAGGAGATTCAAAACAATTTAATGCTCTTTGTGTAAACACAGAAAATTGCACAGAACGGAGTGGAATGGTTTTAGAGAATGGAGAGAGGTGGACGAAATGTGCGGAAAATTTAGAGACGCATTGCAATAGTTGCGGATTGCGAGTTACACGCGAAGAGGTTGAATCGGAACTTTACATAACACGCAAAGATTTAGCGACTGTGCAAAGCCAGTTGGAAACGTTTAAAATCAGGCTTGAAGAGGAACTAGTTGAACGATTTAAACTCGAAGAAGAGCTGAAATCTGAAGCGGAGTCTCACGAGAACGAATTGAAAAATTTAAAGGAGAAAATTGATTTTCTGGAAGAAAATGAAAGCGAGAAAGCTCGGCGGATTGAAGAGTTAGAAAGCCAGATTGTGGTTTATAAAGAAGAGCATGAAAAAAGCTGGGAAGAGGTGGAAAGTTTACGGAGTTTTGTCGGTAAATATCAGAGTGATTTGAGTAAGTTGAGAGTTGAAGCCAACAATGCGAGTGATCAAGCAGTCGAAGCGATCAACGAGATGGAACTGTTGACAAAGAAATCGGAGAAAAACGAACAGGAGAAAGTTAAGATTAAGAAACAAATGAAATCGGAGATGGAAGAATATTGGAAGGAAGTGCGAGAATTGAGAAATGTTTTAGAAAACTGGGAAAAGTTAGATGGCGAAAGGAAAACGCGCATTCAGTCATTAGAAAGCGAAGTTGCGTCCTATAAAAGTCTCGTGAATGAACTAAAAGAAAATCTTGCTGATCAAAGCAACAGAGCCAACGAGGAAAGGAGTAAGGCTAAAACAGACTCTACCACAAATGAGCATTTGTTATTGCTCTGTGTAGAATTGAACGAGATCTTTCGGGAACATCTCAACAGCCATGGAAAGTTTTCTGAGCTGTCGCTCGTTCTGGCAGCAACTCAGAAAGATCTGGAAGAGGCGAGGAATCGAAGCCAGAGTCAAAACCAGATTCTACAGAAGTTTAAAAGAGATTACAACGATTTACACGACACTATGACAGCATTAAACGAAGAAAATCGCCACTTGAGGAACAGCTTGGAGAAGAGGTGCGTGGAGGTAGCGGATATTAGACGAAAGTTTCTCGCTTCAGAGACGCAGGTATCGTGGCTCAAAGAGGCATTAGATATTGTTGACAAAGCCACGAAAAAGTCAAGCTGAAAGCCAGTATATTTATGTAGTTAACTCGGCTACTGGAATGTAAAGTAGCGTTTGTTTCACACGGATATCAAACCTCTTTTGTAAACTTTCTTGAAAAAGGAAAATTCGTTATCTATTTTTCTAAGATATTTTATGTTTGTGGAATTTCAGATACTCGTAATATTTATGTTTTCATCTGCTTACGTGTAAGCCTTTTTCATAATTAATGTGAAAGCATATTAAACAGAATTCGTATTATATATTCAAACATTCTTTGCTAATCCTTCGCAAATTATTGCCAGCATCTTAGCAAACTCTCGAACTTTTGTTATGGAAGATCAGTTTTATCAACAAATAAAGCTTATTACGTTATTTTTGCAAGATTTTCGATTCTACTAACTACATTTAAAGTATTTTCACAAGCGAATTTAGCCAAGTTAAAATACTTGGCCTTCGTTACTAATTTAGCATGGCGTCGCTTGTGGTGGACCACTATGCCATGTAACAGCCTATGAAATGTCTCCGGTTATTAGACTGTCTACCACATGATTCATTTTGGACACAAAAGCAAGATATATGTTAACTTCCGAGTAATGTCACGTTCTTTAGATGTTATTACTGAAGTAAACAAGTTTTCAGGTAGTTTATGCAAATAGAAAGACATTGTTTCCTCGACATCAAAGAACGTAAATAGAACCAACCTGAGCCAGGCCCATTGAGATCAGAAGGGAAACTGGGAACGAGGGAAAGAGCGGGTGAGCGATAAACTGCAGTTGTCAGGGAAACAGCCGCTGATAATGTTCGTGCTTTGCGCGTCTGCTCTTTCGCCGGACACTGGCTAAGAAATTTTTTTTTTGTAAATTTAAAATTCAGTTATTAATAATAAGTACCAGCCGATGCACCAAAATCTTCAGTAGTCACCTTCTGCTGACTGCCCAGCTTTTGAGAAACGGAAACATGTTTAACAAATGCGCGAAAGTTTTACTTAAACATTAGAGAAAAGACAGCGTTCCTCTTGTGTCGTAAAAGCATAACCATGTCGAAGTGAGGGAGGGATTACAAAGAGCCAATGAGAACGGATACATTAAAACTGCGCGGAAAAATGAGAGAGACCTAGGCGCGGTTGGTTTTAGTTTTACATATAAGTGGTTAAGAAAAGTGGCGCGAATTTTATAGACCAATCACAGAGCAAAGCGGAGCTCTTTCCGATTGATTGTCGTGAAACGAAACCCCCAAGTTATCACCACGGCCAATCAGAAGAGAGGAAATATCACAAGGAGCGAATGAGAACTTAGAATCAAAACAAGCAAACTGACTGAAGCGCGGGAAAAAAGCAAGTGACCGAGGAGCAAATGGTTTAAAGTTTTGTATTTGATTGGTTGAGATATTGGCGCGAGTTTTCTGGGCCAATCACAGAGCGTAGTAAAGCAAAACCAACACAATCCCGGATTATTCTCAACTTTCTGTTAAAAACTGCTCAAAAGCTATGCGTATGCAAACGGAACAGCTTTGTTTCCAGTCGAACGGGGGAAATGTAACTATGAATTATTTTTGAAGTCATGACTGCTCTGCACGAAGCATTTTTAGGCTGAACAACTAATCAATTATCAAAGGGATTTCCATCTCATGCGACAGGTGTTTCGTACCTTGGTCACCCATGAAGTTTTTTAATTTAAGCTCGCTTCCCTCGGCAAAGGATGGAGTCGAATATTTTGCTGAATCTAAACAGTTCTAATCCACCCGCCAAAACCCAAATGATCATGTTTTAGCTATTTTCACCAAAAAATTAAATTAATTATGACGAAAACAAGCTTAATCCTGGTAATTATCTGATTTCTTTAAGCGACAACTGAAGACCTCACCAAAAACTGAGATACCTTCGTTTTCTTGTTTTATGTGTTATTTTTTACTTTAGAATTCTCATCAGAAGCAAATTTCACAATTTGCGCAAAATGTCATCCTCTATTTCCAAGGCAACGTTAAAAGCCTTTTACCACGTGACTTTGTTTGCACACAAAGCTGTTTTGGCTACAGAGGAAGTTTCAGCTTTGCAAGAAAAAATTATGTCTTCTATCGAACTCAAAGTACCGAAAAAGTAAAGGTTTTTGTTTTCATTTTGCAGGTTTATTCGAACGAAGGGCTCGTTAAGAATTAGAAAAAAACCCCGTTTCGATTTGTGCATGAAAAGACTCAAGATGACAAAAGAACAGTTGCAGTTTTTATCCATGGGTGGTCTGTTTCGCTCGCAACCGATTCAGGTAAATATTCCTTTTTAAATGTAAAATTCGTGGCCAGTTCTCGATTAAACACCGATGATAATGTTCTTAGCACATGATTTCCATAGCGTTAACGATCTTGTTTGAATTATTTTATATTTCGAGCGCAGAAGAAATTCTTGGATTCTGGGCGATTTCTGAGACTGTTCTAACCAAATATTAAAATCGTCTCTGTCAAGCGCAAATCATGCGTGAATCGAACCCTTTCTGTCAATTTGCAACTCTAATCCGGGGCGGAAATTCAACCTCGAAGCAGAAGTATAATGATGGCCGTATCTTACTGCTGTATTTATTTCATTTAACAATTTATTTTATGTGGACCAATGAGTGTTTGAAACTTTGAAATTAACGCCAATATTCTTCCGATGAACAAAAACATCACAGAATTGGGGTTTGTTTCCAAAATTCAGCAAAATAAAAGAGACGTGAAGATGAAATGATTCTTCGAAACTAGCGGAGACCGCATCAAACGAACGTGTATTGCATAAAATGTTTTTTTTTAAATTGTCGTTTTTTAGCCGAATTTTATCGCTTTTCACAGACGCTATCAAATGCAAAACTTACTTACTACCACACGGCTATATCAATCGACGAAATTTATGTATTCTTTTAAAATGACGGTATTGTTTCATTTTGTTGTATGGGCTTTAGAATCGTGGATTCACGCAAAATAAAAATTCATCATGAGCACAATGCTCGAGGTAATTATTTTCCATATGTTCGTAAGTCGCCCACAGAATTCTGGGCTTAGCAGAAGTTTACAAGGCGTTTTCAACCACTGAATGTATTAAAAGAAAGGAACATTTCTAACACTACCCAAAAAAATATCTAGGATATTCACATTTTTTGGTATGACAAGGCAATGATGATTGTTTTTACAGCTGTGAGTTAAATGTTGAAAAACATCTGCAACCTACACTGTACTTACAATCCGGACTGAATTAATGACAATCATTTAGATAGATAGAGGTGAATATTCACTACAATTCACTATATGAGGAATCGTGAACTTTTTCAGTTCAATAATCGAACATAAACAAGCGACAATCTTAGAGTGTACTGAAGGAGAGAAGTTTGCACGCGATTTGGGAACCTGTCCGCGAAGTCTGTGTGGAGATGGCGCCAGAAACGTGCTTTGTGAGAAACGGTAAATAAGTATACCGGTTGCTCTTGATGTAGAGAGATATGCAAATAGAAGCCGTAGCAATAACTGGCTTATTTACTTCCTCGAGGTATTTTTTGGGTGAGTAAGATTCTGTAAATTTATTAACTCAGATAAGTATATGTAACTTTTTGATCATTAGTTTGTATTAAATTTCGCGACTGAAAGTAGATGTAGCGTGACAAAACATCTCACCTCATGACAGCGGCGAAATACTTGGTAAATGCTTTAATACGAGTTAACACACCACAGAGAAGGAGAGAAATGAACAGAAAAATCATGTCACGAGACGAATATGAATTTCAAACGAGCCTTGTGGAAGTTTTTAAGAATTCAGTACTAAGATGTTTTTTTGCAGTTCCTCTTGCGGCATGACAGAAAGTTTTTTCTTATTTTCTCACTAAATCACAAATTGCCGCCAACTATCGTATGTCATTACAAATAATGAAGTTGTAAACCTTAAAACTGAAACTTTTGAAGGCTTTTTGTCAAATGAAAAGTTGATTAGATTTGCCCCGGGAAAAAAGCTAAGGCTTTTTATGTTGTTGTTGTTGTTGTTTTTTTTTTTGAGGATTATGGACTGTCAATTTAAGCTCGCCTAATTTATGATGGCGACCAAATGGCTAGGAGGTCTGTCAAGGTGAAAAAATATGTTCAAGTTTTTCCTTAAAAAGTCCATTCCTCGAAAAATAAAACGGGAATAGCCTTGACTATTCTTGAAAATTTGCCAATGTAAATTACTTGACTTTTTACCTCGCATGACCAGACGCTCGATGACGTATTTCTTGACGTGGACCAAGTCGCCTTTCCCTCTCGACCAATCAGATGCAAAACTAAAACCAAACGCGACTTCCACAGGCGCATTTTCCTGCGCTTTTGGCAGTTTGCTAGTTTTTACCTTTAAGTTTTAATTTCAGTCGAAACAGCTAAAAAATATGTTTACCCTGCTCTTTTGGAGATTCATCGCCCATAAATTTTGAACCACGTCGATAGGCCAATGCTGGTGAATATTCGTTGCTAAATTTGGGTGAACGTTCTTTACTATGAAATAAGAGGTCTGTCAATTTAATGAACAGTATGTATGAAATGCAGTTAGGTCGCACCTGATGCTGGGCAAATTATACATTTACCCCAACGATTATTATGAAAAACCATAAGTTGATGCATAATTTAGAACCTTTGTCATAGTTTGAACGAAAGTGTCCGTGGTTTCGCTTCTGAGTTTTGGAGGAATTACAATATTTCGTAACATTCTCTGTGAAACTGTATGATTGATAATAAACTTGGTCGATTAAGGAATTAAAGCTTCTGTCGGCCTTGGCAAACTACCTAGATACAACAGGAAGATTATGAAAAATTCTTTCGGTTCTGTTGAATAGAACTGTTTGTAAATAACGCGGGAAAATACTGCAAGCTGATTGGCTGTCGGCATCATTAGCAAATCCACCAGTTTCCAAGGAAGGAGTGATGATTCGGTGAAAGATTTTCTACCGAATTTATTTACTTTGCGGTCGACAAGACCTGACAAAATGGAAATATTGAGTTTCATTCTTGCAGAGGTTCTGCTCTTGAAATTTCTTCTCGAAGGGAAGACGACAAGTTTGCATCGTTTAAGATGTTGATTTGACAATGTAATACAAAAAGCTTTCTTATAGAACAGGTGAGCTGTAATTTTGCACAATGAAACCGAAAGATTGTTCTACGTTAAATGAATTTGCACAGACCAAAAAAGAAACCTTTGGATAAACGTTCCTCTATCTAAATAGAAAACTCGAATAGTTTCTGTCAATTTTTTTGCTTTTCAATTCTAATTATACAAACATACAGTTTATTCAGTTAAATTTTGTTAGACAAATGTAAAGTATGATGAGTTCTTTCTTTGGATTTAATTCGACGTAAGCTCAATCAAAGTTTGTATGAAAACTAAAATATTCCAAAGCTACTTTTCTAAGAGTTTAGGCTATGTATTTTTGATCATGGTATTCAAAGGAATCTTTGGACGAGGTGATTTCCTATTTCGCAAAATTAATTTTTTTTATAGTTTCACATGCAGTAAAACCGACCAGCCCCACTTAACGAAAGTTTTTAACTTCTTTAAATGATAGAAATTCTATGCTTTGTGGCGTGTTTTTACATAAACTGCTTCATACGATTACTCTACAATAAAAGGTTTATTTCTTAAACCCATTACGTGTTCCAACTTTTTCACAATGGGTACATAATGATTAATATCAACAGGCAGTTTTCATTTGCATTCTGTATTAACAGCGTAATGTAAATAAACCCAAACTAATGGAGTAATAGATCAGTTAAAAATACAGGTCAATCAATTATATTGATCGTCTCTAACTAAACTGGTAGAACAAGACTTTCCATGCGTTACAAGAAATTAACAGTATCGAACAATTTTAAGACCTGTACCAAAGAATCACGCGGATTATACAAACATGGCCATATATGTTCTACCACAAGAAGTATTCAAACAATATGCACAAGATAGTCAATTAATTTACGAGTTAAAATTATATTTGTTCTAAAGTTCTCTTTTTCTTTGTAAAGGGTCTCGATTCTTTCTTTTTATTCAAGACGTTTATGGCTTGTAAACAATACCCCTTGCGTGGAAAAGCCGAGACGCTGCTGATTTTTTATACAAACACAAAACATGCGGTTTATTTTCAGAATAATTAGAGGACTATCCATTAGGTCTGTAACCGCAAACCAAACAACGAATTAAAACATGAACATTTTCCGACACCTATCGGTTACAATGCTAAAATAAAATAGTTGAGAATCTCTTCCACAGTTGATAAGTCTTGCTTGGTGTCTTTTCTTTAACAGGGCCATCCCGAGCAAAGGGAGATCTCGTTTCATAATGGAAAACAGAAGAGGTAAAGGAAACGTCTCGTTAGAAATTGAAAATCTGGAACTGAAAGCGGCCGTAGAGGGGAAGGAGAGCATTATTCGCCAGCTGCAAGACGAAGTGAAAGTTGTACGGGAATCAAAAGAGACACGAATGGTAACCACTGAGCGAGTTTATCGTGAAAATGAGGTTCAAGAGCTCCAGAGCGTGGTACAGAATAAAGAGATTGCTGTTAAACAACTTCGAGAAGAACTGACGCACGCTCATCATAACACTGAACAGGTGTACCAGCAGTACGCACGCGCGAGAGGAGAACTAGAGGCGAAGGACGCCACGATCAGCAGGTTGCATCAAGAAAATGACAGATTACAAGAAACACTGGAGACAACCCAAAATGAACGACTGCAAACGCTGGATAAACTCAGCGGCGTGCAAGTGGAACTCTCTGCACTGCGCGTGGATAAGAATTGGCTAGAAAGTCAGTTAAAGTTTCAGAAAGAAACTTCATCGTCGAAAACTTCGCGGAGTTTTGGTAGCGAAACGACAATTATCGAGGGTAGGGAAGAATTAGTGCTAACTATGGAGAGTGTCGCGAAAGATAAACAGACTTTACAAGAGTTGATCAATACTGCTTCGCATTATGAGGAAATTATACGCAGTCTGGAAAGTGGCAGAAGAACTGAGGGGGTTAGCTCGCGCGAATCGTATCGATTTGCTTCTTCTACATCTTCAAGCCCACGACGAGGCGAACTATCGAACATTGATGAGAGTTATGTGTTGGAGCTCGGCAGTAAAATGTCGGAAGTTGAAGAACGGTTACAAAAAGCCGTCGTATCGCAAAAGTACCAGCTGCAGGCCGAGAGAGAGCAATTAATTCAAGAATTTAAGAATATGCAAACTCAGCTTTTACAACATCAAAGACACCATGAAATGCAAAAGAATGAAATTTCGTCAAAAGAGACGCTTATACAAAGACTTAAAGCTGCAAAAGCCACTTTAGAGACCGAGGTGGAAACACTCAAAAGCGAGCTGGCAGCCTGCCGAGCAGAGAGTGACAAATATTTACAAGAACAGAGAAAATTTCAACATGATTTGACATCTTCCAGAAGTAAAATCTCCAAACTTGAAGCCGAGTTAGAGAACGAGAGACGGCAAAGAGATATGGAAAAGCGAAGATCTCAAGAAATTAGCTCACACAGTCACACAGAGAAAGAAGAGTTATCCAAACTAAAAATTCAGTTTCGAGAGCAGTACCTGCTGAATGAGAACCACATGAGAGAGATCGCTGCCAAAGATAATCTTGTCCAGCAGCTGCGGGAGAAACTGGAGACAAGCGCGGTTGAGGTGGAAAAATTGAAGTCAACGCGTACTGCTATTCAAGTTTCACAAACGGAAGTTGGACGAGACCGGGAAATTTTACAAGAGAAACTTCTCGCCTCGGAACGAAGGTTTGCCGAGTTGGAGATTTCCTACGAAGATTGCCGACAGAAGAACGAGAGATTACATCGTGAAATGCAGGAATACAAACAAAAGCACTTCAGAGTCGAAGCTGTGGATGATTCACTTGAACAAAAAAAATTAGACCTTGAAAATGAACTTGTAATTGTTCGGAAGAAGTTGTCAAAGCTTGAAAGTGCGTATGAAAGCTGTCAAAAGGAGAAGCTACAGCTTCAGCAAGAGTTAATACCTGCAAATACTAAAATGGCACAGCTGAAAAACGCTTATGAGAGCTGTCAACAACAGAAGGTCCAACTACAACAGGAAGTCCTCTCCTCGCACAAGCGGATGGGCGAGTTTGAAGCTAAAACGGAGCGATACAAACAAGAAAAGGCAGAAATTCAGCGCGATATGAAAGCTAAAGAAAACCGATTTAACAGAGTTGAGCAGCAACTTCAACGAACTCAGAGCGAAAAGCAAAGCCTGGTGGAGAAATTAGAGGAGGCCAAAAGACGGCTGGTGAATGTTTCGGATGATGGAAAGCAGAGAGATAACCAATGGTATGACCAACAGAAGAAGTGTGATGATCTCAGTACAGAAGTGCAGAACAGAGACAAAACGGTGCACCAGCTTAGAGACGAAAAGGAACTACTGGAAGCTGAAATTCAGAGATTCAAGCAAGATTTTGAGACGTTGAATAGGGAGCTCGCAGCCTGTCAGCGGGAAAAAGGGAACTTGCAAAATGATTTGGTGATCGAGAGACAGCGAAATGCCGAGTTCGAAAAAGATTGCGAACGTCTAAAACAAGAACGAGAAAATCTTCAACACGAGTTGAATTCTATGAAGGACAACAACGCACAGTGGAAAGATATGTGTGAAAAAATCCAAAACGACAAGGAAAGATTACAACAGGAAGTGTTGACGGCTCAAAGGAACATCTCGAGGTACGAGTCGAGCCGTGATAGCGAGAAACGAACCTCACAACAGGACACCATGGTATTGAGGACCAAAATAAGCGGACTTGAAAGTGAAATTCAAGAACTGAGAAGGAATGAAGAAAGCTTGAAAACTAAAACGATGGAGATTCAGAGGTGCAAAGTGGAATTTAGCAAATTAGAAAGGGAGATTGAAGATGGCGCCAGGCGGTTCGAGCGCGTTAACAAAGAGAGTGAAATGAAGGAGAGTCTTGTGCAGCAGTTGAAAAGGGAAAACATGGCGCTTAAAAAAGAGCTGGACTCAGCGCTTGATGAATCTGGAGATCATTCCACAAGTTATGTTCCCGACACAAGAACTTTTGAAGTTGAGTTGGAATTACTTCAAAATCAACTCGCAGACACAAATGCGCACGTGCGAGAACTTGAGGAAGACTGTGATTCCGGGCGGCAAAAGAACCTGCAGCTCCAAAAGGAGATAGTTTCCCTCGAAGCGAAGAACTCCGAGTTGGATAAAGCTTATGGAAGAGTGCAAGAACAAGAAAGAAGGCTACACCATGAGCTTGAAAGTTGTAGAGGCAGTATTAGCAAGCTTGAAAAAGAGATATTGTTCCACCAGGACAATAAGAGCAAAATAGAGAGCGCTTTTGAGAATTCAGAATTGAGAAAAGACGAGTTGTCGAGGGAAATACTAGAGGTACGAAAGAAGCTCTCAGAGCTTGAAAACCTTTACAAAGCTGCAAAGAACGAAGGTGAATCAACTAGAGAAACAGATCGGGCAAACATTGCAAAGCTTGAGACCCAAGTAGAAAATTTATCCAAGCAAAAGCAGCGACTGCAGCAATTATTAGAGGAGAGCAGAGATGCAGCTCGAAGATACCAAGATGAACTGCACAGGGCCCAGACGAGACTGCAAGAGCTTATGAGAGACTCTGAAGTGTACCACAAGGATATTCACTCCAAGGAAACACAAAATAAAAAGATTCGAGTAGAAAAGGAAACTATTGAGAGGGAACTTGAAAGCGTTCAGGTTCAGCTGGTAAACACCACTTCCAGCGTGGAGGCGTTTGATACGGAGAGATACGAAATTATGCAAGAGATGCGCTTGGCCAAGGACAAGGTCCAGGAGTGGGAAAATGCGTACAAGATGCTGCAACAAGAACACGAGAGTCTAGAAAAGGAACTACGAAATGCTCAGAAGATGGTGAATGAGGTGGAAAACGAGTTCAATAAAAGCCAAAAAGATCGACAAAATGAAATCCGTACCAATCACCTGAAGGTCAGCAAGTTTGAGTCACAAGTCCAAGTGGTTCTTAAACAGCGAGACTCTCTGAAGGAACAGCTCGAAGAAGTTCGTGACGAGTTGAAGAAAACCAAAGATGAGTATACACATTTGCAGAAAGAATTCATCCAGCACCAGCAACGATGTGATGCGTATCGAAAGGAGCTCTTAGCAAAGAGTCATCAAATCGATAAATTAGAAGATGAGAAAAACAATTTAATGAGGAAGATGGAACAGATGAGACTTGAACTGGGACAAAACGAAATGACAGGCCAGGCTGTGAAGCAGAAGAGAGACATCTTAGAAGACGATTTGCAGTCAGCTGGAAATAAGATAACAGAGCTTGAATATAATTTGACCTCACTGCGATCAGAGAAGGATGAGATTCAGAAAGACCTATACCGCGTGACCAACAAGTTGACGACTGTGGAGGACTCATACGCCAGGGCTCAAGAAAAAGTGAAAGATCTTGAGATACAGTTGAATGCTGCTCGTAAGGTCATAGGTGATCTAGAAGAGGAGCTATCTATCATAAAGCACAAAGCTTCCCAGCTTGAAACAGATCACGGGTATAAATTTGGTCAAATCGACGATTTAGAGGAAAAACTGGATGCGGCTCACAGGAGTTTGTCTGAGATCGAGTCCGCGTATGAATTTAGCGAGCGCGAGAAAGAAGATCTTAAACAACAACTTACACATGCAGAGAGAAAGGTATCAGAACTCAGGCAGACAATTCAGAGAAATGAAGAAGAAAATGATGATTTGGAAAGACAACTGGATAGCACTCGACATCGAACAACGAAGCTTGAAGGTCAGTTAAATCATGCGCAGAGGCAAAAAACGCAGTACAAAGAACAGTTAGAGGATGTTAGGGCAAAGCTGTTAAAATGCAAAGATGAACTAGTAACAGTACAAAGTCACCTTTACGACTGTCAGCGAAGTTTAGATGCTTTGCGGAAAGATGCTTCCGGCAAGGACAATACCATAACAGAGCTACGAGGCAAGTGCTTTTCTCTTGAAACGACGCTTGGACAGACGAGTGAAACGCTCGACAAATATCAAACAGAGAACGACTTACTTCAACAAAGCAAGCAAGATCTCCAAGAAGAACTTCTACAAAATCAAGAAAAGTTCCAAGAACTTGAAGCCATGTACAAGCTGTGTGAACACGAAAAGAAAAGGCTGGAGGAAGAGATTCACTCGTTTTACAAGAGACTCGCCGAACTTCAAGGATCTTATCAAACGTGTGAACACGAAAAAATGGACGCACAACGTCAAGTGATGGTTCTGGAGCAGAAAGTGGACAAACTAGAGGCTGCTTTAGAGCAGACACAAAGAGAGAAAGCTTCCTTAGAATATCACTCTGGAGATCTAAATGTTTCAAACAAGAAGACCGTGGATGAATTGACTGTTGTCAAAATTCGTTTGGAGGAAAACCAGAAATCAGTTAGCGAGTATTCACACCAATTGCTCGAGAAGGAAAGGATTGTCGAGGAATGCAAATTGAAGATAACTTCACTAACATCTCAAAATGAATATTTGAACTCAGAATTGACGAAGAAGAAGGAGCAAGTCTGGCAGACAGAAAATGATAGACGAAAGCTACAAGAGAAGTGGAGAGAAACAAGCGATGAAGTTATCAGGATGAAGCCATTGTGGGAGACTGCACAGCGCAAAAAAGATCAACTTGAAACAGAGTTGCAGTCAAACCGAAAGAAGGTGGCAACGTTGGAATCTGCCTTAAAGAAAAACGAAGAGAGGGGAAATCAGACTGAAAAAGAGCTGAATACGTGCAAAAGTAAACTATCAGACCTCGAAACAGAGTTAAACTCTATGCGAAAAAAGGTTTCCGTGATGGAGTTGCATTACGAAGAGGCAAGAAAGGAACTGGAAGAAGTGCGAGAAGAGCTGAGAGCAGCACAAGAGAAGAACACGAGGTATTCTATTCAGCTTGATACAGCTCAAGGCGAGGAGTTAGATCTCCGGCGACAAATCGCGGCTCTGGAGAAGAACGTCGAGAAAGGTGACGAAGAAATCTCAAGTCTCCGTCAAAATAAGGAGGCTTCTGAAGAGGAGCTTTTCACAATACGTAACAAAATGACACAAATGGAATCGACGATTCGCGCATTGGAGTCACAGAAGCAGAACTTTAAAGAGCAATTAACCGATTCGAGAGACAAGACTGTGGAGCTTAAAGAAGAAAACGTTAAGGTTGCTAGTCAGTTAAGAGAGCAACAAGGCCTGGCGCAGTCCTTGAAAAAGGCTCTTGCAAAGAAAGAGAAGACTGTCGAGGAACTGAACGAAAGGATTTCTGAGCTTGTAACAGAGCTGGAAACACTCCGCCACGAAGGAATGACGATAAAAGTATCCTGCGAGACTCTTCAAGGGGCACAAGAAGACCTTGGTGTAAGACTGATGGAGTACGAAAGCAAGGATGAAACGACTCAGAATGAAATAAAGGAGCTTCGTGATTTACGGGAAGAGCTGGAACGGGAATTGAACATTGCTGTTCAAAAGAACTCAGAACAGGAAAGCCAATTGAAGAATTTGCAGCGTGAAAAAGAGAGAATGAAATCAAATCTTGACGAAACTGTCAGGAAGCTTGCTAAACAGTCTGAAGATGGTTCGAGAGTGCAGAAGGATTTACAAGAATATCAGATAGTCATCGAACGGTTAAGAGCTGAAAACAAAGCCATGAACTCTCAAATCGAGGAGCTAAGAGCAGTGAAAGTGGCTGTGGAGAGCGAGTTAGCAAACGTGCGCTCGGAATATGAAGAAGATAAATCAAAGAACGAAACAAACGAGAAGAACATCCGAGAAGCTGATGATGAACTCAAGCGGTGCAAAAATGAAATCTCGCGATTAGAGGACTTGATATTTGACATAGAGAAGGAGAGAAATACCTTAAAAAAAGACTTGCAGGTCTCTAATTCTAGATGTCTAGAATTCGAAGGCTTGGTTGTGAAGTCTTCTCAGGTCGAAAGCGACCTAAGGCATGAATTACAAAGCTACAATAATAAGATAATTGCTTTGGAATCGGAATGTAAAATGTCTAAAAATCTAAGAACTGAAAATAATCGTGAGAACGAGCTGCTGGGAAAGAAGTATCGAGATCTTGATGAAGTATTTAAGAAAAGCGATCGAGAAAGAAAAGAAGTGAGACAAGAGCTGATTATAACGCAAAGCAAATTGCAAGACCTGGAATACAAATACGAGTATGAGTGCAATGAACGAAGCTCACTGTTTAAACAGCTGGAAGAAGCAACTGGTCAACTATCTGCCGCTCTCGACAAAACCCTCAATCTAGAGCAGAAAGTCGCAGAACAGACGATTCTTTTAGATGTGGCCAACCAGGAAGTCGATGGGAAGGACGAGGTTATTCGTCAGCTGAAGAGCAGCAAGATGTTTTTGGAGGGGCAGAGAGATAACTTAAAGCAAACTGTGGCGTCCGGAAAGGAAGACTCTGAACGTCTACAACAAGAGATTACTCGTTTCCAACGCGAAAGCCTTCAGCTGCATAAGAGGGCGGCTGAACTGGAGTCAAAGCTTTCAAAAATGTTCGCAGAAAAAGAGCGAGCTCGAGAGGACGTCAATAAATACAAAGACGATTTATTTTCTCTCAAGAGTCGCCTGGATGAGTCACAAGAGGAGAAAGAAGATCTTGAACACCAACTTGAGGAGTACAAACAAAGCGCTTTAAATTACAAAAATGAAGTTTTGACGTTCCAGCGGCAAGTCACAGAGCTCACTGGTCAACGTGACGTGTTAAAGGAGACATTGGACGCAAAGGAAGGATCTATGGGGCAGTTACGAGAGTCTAAGAGAATTTATGAGGAAGAAACTGAACGATTACAAAATCTTCTAAAGGAAAAGGAAAAAGAGAACGATTTGTTGACCACAAAGAGGAAGGAGTTGGAAACTAGTTTGAGCTCTGCGTTGCAACAGCTAGCAGAAGCAGAGAGCACACTTAAGGCGAATCAAGAAACTGTTAGAAGACTAGAAAGGGAAGCAGATTCTCTGAGAAATAAACTGGAGGATATGGAAAGAAAGCTGACAGAACTCAGAGAGAGGGAAAATGAAGTCCAACGAAATAATATTGTTTTAAAATCACAAATATCAAGTTTAGAATCTGGTTACCAGGCCTGCCAAGGGGATCGTAGCGACCTGGAGGAAGAAACCCAGTCTCTCCGAGATGAACTGGAGAAAACAAGAAAATTACGAGACGAAGAGCTTGAAGAACTCGACAAATTACGATCCGAGGCGCAAATGAGCAGAAATAAAGTGTATTCTCTAGAAACGCAGATACAACGAATTGAAAGAATCAAGAATAATCTGGAACAACAAGTCAATACATTGACACCTGGGAGTAATGACGCTAACGGTGAACAGATCCGTCTCCAAAGAAGAGTCCAAGAACAAGATATTCTCCTTGAGTCTCGCAACAGAGACTGTGCAAGCAAAGAGGAAACCATTGAAATGTTTAAGGCGGAAAACACCACCCTGAAAGTGGATGTCAGGAGTCTGCAGGAGGAAAATATTAGTATCAGATCAAGTATAGAATTGCTTCAACGTAAAAAGGATGCTTCTGATAAGGAACTATTCGATGCTTTGAAGAAAGGTTCAGAGTATGAGCTTCGCCTTGCCACGGCACAGGAGGAAAGTGATGAGTTGAACAGAGAGCTGGTGGAAAAGCAGGAAAAAGTTTCCAGTCTGCAGGAGGAATTGTATCGAGCTCTGAAAGATCTGGCGAGTGTAAGACACGAACTGGAAGATGTACAATCTCGCGCAAAAGAAAGTAAAGATATAGTCGCTGATTTACAGCAGCGCCTTGATGAGAAAGAAACAGGTTTTGAGACAAACAAAAACACTTACGAGGAGAAGGACAACAAGATTGATTCGTTACAATTAGAGGTCAGCACACTAGAACAAGAGCTAAAATCCTTGACAGAAGAATTGAGTAACGAGAAGGAAAGACACAAGCACACTCAAGAAGAAATAGCTAAATCGCGGACGGAATTAGAAACATGTGAAGCACGTGCAGCCAACTTGGAGGACACTGCAACACGTCTTAGAAAGGAAAAAGATGATTTGAAGAAGGAGGCTTTGTCGAATCAAGCTGTCGTTGCTGATCTCACAGAGAGATACCAAGCCTTACAGAGGGAACACGAGGGCCAAGAACACAAGGCTATGTCACTGCAGCAAAAGCTCACCTACTTAGAGGAAAGATACAGGAGCATATCTGAAGATAAAGACAAACTCAAGGAAGAGTACCATGTGCTCAAACGAGATACATCCGAGATGAAAATTGCACTGGATAGCGCTCAGCGAGAAAAAGGCAAACTTGAGGGCGAATTGACAGTTGTGAAACAACAGAGCATAGACCTGAAAAGTAGAGTAACTGTAATTCTTCAAGAAAAAGACAAATCTTCTGTGGAAATCTCATCCATGAACACTTCACTAACAACATTGCAGGCGGACTACAACACGATTCTTTCTCAAAAGGAAGAAAAGGACAAGGAAATAGTTGAACTTCATAAAAAATTGTCCAAAAATGTGTTTGAGCACGGTGAATATGAAAAAACAAAGGTTTCTTTACAAGGAGAGGTCCAAGCACTTCAGAGAAAGGTGGACGAGTTGGAACACACTGTAGAGTATTTAGAACAAAAAGACAAACAGCTTCAAGGAGAGTTCATTGATTCTCACAAAAAGATAACAGCACTCGATCAAGAACTCATTGTGGCTAAGAACAAAATTACCAGAATGGAGGCTTTTAGTGGTGTGGAGAAGGAGAAGATGAAAGTCCTTAGCGATGATCTTTTCAATGCGGAGCAGAAAGTAGCACAACTTGAAACTGCTTTGACGTCAAGTCGAGAGAAGGAGTCACAGCAACAGAACGACCTCATGGCTGCTTACAAGAAAGCAACTGACTTTGAGGTGGCTTACCAGACAAGTCAGACGGCGAAGAACCAACTACAGCAGGATATTAACATGTACAGGAATAAATTAACAACAAGCGATCGTAAATTGCAAAGCGAGATTAAAAACAGAGCACAGCTTGAAAGCCAACTTCAAGACGCAAAATTCAAGATTGAAAATCTGAAGACAGAGGTGGTGAAACATCAAAGAAAACTAACCCAACAGCAACAGGAATATGAAACCACACAAAACGATACTGAAAACAAAACCAAGGTTATTGAGAATCTTCAATCATCTAAGAGGAGCCTTGAAAATGAAGTCCATGATCTTCGAAGAGATCTCACAAGTTTAAAATTGACTTCTGAAAAACTTAGTCACGAGAACAAAGAATTGCAGAATCAATTGGAGGTCAGTCAAGAGCGCCTGGCAGATGTGGAGTCTACCGCTGAGTTGAGCACCATAGAGAACGACAGACTCAGAACAGAGGTACTGCACCTGGAAACGTCGTATCAGGAAGCGCAGCTGGTATGCCAGATGCTACAGAAAGAAAAAGAAGTTCTTAATTCTCAGCTCCTCGAGGCTGCTGCCCCAGATTCGGTAGCTTTTGGATCGACGGATGACTCCCTGAAGAAGGAAAAGGAGGATCTAGAAAGTCAGCTCTCCAAAGTTGAAAAAGATTTAGGATCATTGAAAACTACTCATGAGGACATGTTGACAGCGAAAACTAAGGCTGAGGAACAACTGGATGCAGTGAGGAAAGAACTAACTGACTTACAGTCAAGTTATCAAACTCTTCGGTTGGATAATAACAGAAACGTTCTGGAGCTTGGAAATGCTAAAAAGCGATTAAGCGACGTGGAGGCGTCTTGCGAAGAAACAAAACGAGCTAAGGAGAAGTTGCAAGGGAACTTCACTGACGCAGAAAGGAAGCTGGTCTCCCTTGAAGCAAGTTATGAGTTGTGCGAAAGCCAGAAAAACGACGCTACCAGAGAGTTGTCAAACATGGAAAAAAAGCTTGCCCTGTTGGAATGCTCTTATAACAGGATTCACGATAGGGAGACAGAGTTGGAGCAAGAAATTCTTGACTCGCACAAGAGGGTTACAGAATTAGATTATGAGCTGCAAGCAAAGAAGGGGTTCCTTGAGGATGCACAAAATGTTGTGCAAGACATGGAAGAAAGGAATGACGTCCTACAAGTAGAAGTCCTTGACTTGCAAGGAAAGATTAATGAGTTGGAAGCCACTTGTGAAATGTGGAAAGAAAAGGCAAATAGTTGGGAAGAAGAGATCAAAGAGGCAGAACGTAGAGTTAGCAATGCGGAAGAAGTTTACAAATTTGGACAACTTGAGAAGACGGAACAAGAGAAAGAGCTGACCATCTTGAGAGACAGCATCTCAACCTTGGAGCGTGAAATTCAAGAAGGAATCAGGGAGAAAGAGGAATTACTATCAGAACTGGATGATTTAAGGAACACTAGTTTCACTGATCAAGACGATGTGAACAACCTGAAGACAGAAATAAAGGAGTTACAAGGAAAAATCTCGGACAGTAGCCGAGAATTTGACGAACAAGCGATCGCTTTAGAGGAATGTAGGAGACAACGGGAAACACTGGAAGACGAACTTGACAGGCTTAAGAGAGATTTATTGGACAAAGAAAGATCCAACGAGGATTATGAGAGAGAGAATAACGGGATGCAACATGAGCTAGAGGTGATCAAGGATGAACTAGAAGAAAAGGAGAGGCTACTGAAACTATGTGAAGAAGAAAAGGAAAAGGTTCGCAATGAGATGATTACAGCACACAATCTGGTATGTACACTGCAAGATGATGATCGAGCGAGTGAAGTTCAGACCCTCGTGCTGCAGCAAGAACTGGAGTTCTTTAGGAAGAAAGTTGCTGATGCAGAGAAGGAAGTACAAACGTTCAAGACCAAGAATGACTCATTGAGGCAAGATCTTGTTGATGGGCGCTTTTCGGGCAGCACCGATCGAGAATCCGTGCAACAGGAAATCCGAAGCCTAAGGAATGAACTCCAAACCAGCACTGATAAATACCGTGAGCTCGAAAGGTTTTGTAAAGAAAGTGAAGACGAGAAACTCGGCCTTCAAAGAGAGCTGTTGGAAACACACAAGAAAGCATCAGAAATGGTGATGGCACATCAACATTGTCACCAAGAAAAAGAATCATTCCAGGATGAAATAGCAAATTTAAAGAGAAGACTACAGGAGCAAGGAGATGCAATGGATGGTACTAAAGACGGAGCGCTTAATCTTCAAGACGAACTTCTGGATTTACACCGAAAACTCTCTACCACGGAAAGTATGTACGATCGTTCTCAAGACGTCAACAAAAGACTTCAGTCAGGTTTGGAGGATGCAGAGAAAAAAATTAGCACTCTTGAAAATGAGCTTTTCCTTGTCTCGCGTCATGAGGTTACACAACTTAGTAATGCCTCTGTTGGCATTGAGGAGAAAGCTTTCCTTGAAGAAAAGCTGCAATCTGTCGAGACCAGGTATGCAGAGTTAGAAGTGACCTACCAACGTATCGTGCAAGAGAAGAAAGAAATCTCTGATGAACAACAAGCAAAAAGTGAGGAGTTATTTCGTATTCAGAGGCTACTGGATGAAAAGACCAAAGAAGCGGATTACTTGCAAGAGCAGCTGAATGATCGCAGCAATAACTCAATTTTAGAAACGAATCGTTTACGAGATGAACTAGAAGAAACTCTCGAGAGGCTACATAAGAGCGAATCTGAATTATCTGCTAAAACTTTCGAGTATGACCGGGCAGTCGATGACCATCAACGAGTAGTGTTTGAGAAAGAAAGCCTCAACAGCGATCTCAACGCTCAAATAAGTTCTCTTAATTTTGAAGTGTCCACCTTGAAGAGAGAGCTGGTGTATACCCGGGAAAACAAGGACACCTGGGACGAGGAAAGGAAGAATTATAGAGAAGAAGCTTTTAACTTGAGGAAAGAAAAATCACGCGCCGATGAAGAACTTCGTCTAATTAAAGATGATTATGAGAATATCAAGGAAAGGTTTTCCGTTATGAAGACAGAAAAAGGCCATTGTGATGAGGAAAATGGTAGGCTCAAAGAGGAAATACAAGCGGCAAACCTCGAGATTGATCGCCTTAAACGAGAGATGTCAATGAGTAAATACGAATATGACTCATTTGAAAATGAAAAGAGCAGCTTTAAGGAAGAAATTAACACCCTTAAAGTCAGTAAATCTGAAGTTCAAGAGGAACTTTGGCGGGTGAAACGAGAGCTAGAGAAATTACAGCGGGAGGCTGGAACTAGAGAACGAGATCTGGAGGCATGGGAAAGAGAGAGATCGACGCTACAAGACGAAATCAAGACTTTCCGAAGCGAAAAGATAAGTCTCACTAAAGAGAATAGAGAACTGACGCGAGAAATAGAAAGACTGATGGCTGATATAGCATCCAAAGCTGAAATAACCGAGGATGTAGGAAAAGTGAGACGCGAAAGGGAGGAATTCTTCTACGAATACACAGTGATCAAAGAGAAGTACACCAGGATTGAAGAGGAACGCAGTATATTCCTGATCGAGAAACAAACCTTGGTCCAAGAGAAGCAGAATCTGGAATTTGATCTTAATGACTGTAAAAACAAGTTGCTAAGGTTTGAAGAGTCTAATAGTTACTTAGAAGAGGAAAAACGTCGTTTGGAGTACGAATTGAAAACGGCTCAGGATCGGCTTTTGATCGTCGAGAGGGAGTTCGATTCCAGAGCAATGGAAAAACAGAAAATCTCTGAGGAAGTCAGCAGCATGCGTTTTGAAATAAGAAAAATGGAAATTGAGCTGCAAAATGCTCAGAGGAAACTGGACGATGCGAACGATGACATCATCGCCAAACAGGGTCGACTTGAGAGACTGGAGGGAGAACTTGGAGATCAAAGACGAGAGTGCAAGTTACTTGAGCTGGACCGAGAGCGCAAGGCCAATGAGGTTAAAAACCTGCAAGACCGGATTGACGAGCTCGAGCGCGAGATTCAGAGCTTGCAAGATGACTTGATTCTAAGCCACAGAGCATATGAGCAGTGTAAGAGACAACTGGAAGACTTTGAATTGTCTGATGACCAAACAGAAACATCCACGCTTCGTGTCGATGTCACGGAAAGGCCTCAGCAGACAACGACTCTGGACATTGATGTGAAACCACAGGTTACAACACTGGACATCAATGTGGCACCACAGAGAGCATTTGAATACAGCTTTACACCACAAACAGAAGAGTCATACGTAACTCCGCAGACAACATTCGAATACAGCTCTGCGCCACCGACCTCAAGAACTCAATTTGACGCCAGACCTCAAAGAACTTCGGAATACAGTTTTACTCCACAGACCACTACTACAGAACTCGAAATAACGACACAAACAACTACACTCGACATCGACGTCCAAGAACGTCACGAAACGACTGAACTGGAAATTGATATTGAACAAGAAACAAAAAATGCACCAAATGCATCATGGTCCACCGGACGTGCCTCATCTTTTCAGGTGTACAGGGACCGGAAGTATGGACCTGTGGAATTTGCTCTCGAGGAAGAGGAGGACGGGGGATATGAGATTGCACAAATTGAAAGCAGGAGAGAGCCAAGAAGAAGATGGAAGTATTAAGATCCTAGTGATCTTGGAAGTTTTAGGGTTATTATGGAGATTGGGATGACTAGGACTGTGACTGCGACAGTTGGGGTGACTTTGACCATTTTTTGGAGGATTTTGGAGAAAATGAAAGGTTTAAGATTCTGATGTTCTTAAACGTTTAGAAGTAACAATATTCTGATCACAATTTATTGGGATAACGGTCTCAAGCTTTGAGATGACTGTGGCCATTGTTAGATTCTCTGGCAGATAGTGGACGTTTTAAGATCCTGATGTTCTTAGACGTCTTGAGTGTTATCCCACTTTATTGGGATAACTGTGACGCAAGCGTTGGGATGGCTGTGACCATTTCAAACTTTGCTGTACTTTGCTTTGTTATGTAAGTTTGATTTTGTGCCCCATGATGCTGTGTACTCTTTGCATTTAGATACCTTTTCTCGGAAGCGCGTTTTTAAGATTTAATTTTTGTCGCTTAAGATATTTTAAACACAATCAATGGTCAATTTACTGATATGAAAGCCTACGTGCTTTTCTTAGGAAAAATTTTCAAAATCATACATTCTTTGTATTAGGCAATTGTTATTTTATGTTAATGATTAATGAAAAAAGGGTTCTCTTAGGAGTCTTCATCTGCCAGAACGTACCATGTGGCATATATATATAGCTTTTCTACCGTGTAAATCTCTATGGAAATGATTTTTGAAAAAGCTAGGTTTTAAGTTGTAACACTTTGTATTAAGAGTGTCACTGCATTTATCTTAGTACTACAGGTGTTGGTAGTATTGTAACTCGTCAATCGAGAGATACACCTTTAAGTTACATTTTTTTTTCAAATGATTCAAAAGCCGTTATTAAACGTGAGGGGTATTTATAGGGAATTACTCATATGACTTCAGGAGAATGCTTAACGCCCGTTTTAAGTCTTCATAGAATTATATTTAAATTCAGTCGAATTTGGTTTTCTTATGAGATTTTGTATAGCTTCAGGTCAACCAAGATCGTTTCAATGAGTATCTATTCCTTGATAAATAAAGACATTAATAAAATGTGTGGTCTTGTTTTGCCCGTTAATGAATCATCCAGTTTAGCTTGGTACCTCGTGAATCATTAGACTGTCGAACCTGTGCCCAGCGGTCATCCACAGGGAACGACGCAATGACTGCTTACTAAAGGTTGACGCTGACTACAGGTTGAACAGAACAGGAGTGAAAAAAAACGATAAAAAACGCATTTTGTTTGCCATAATTGACCACTTAATTTACAAAAATTCACTCATAAATACTACTAACATTGATTTTGGGAGAGAATCGTGGATTAAATTGTACTTGAAAGATTATTCTTAGTTTTATTTGAGTACCTGCGCTTTTTAGTGACCGTACAACACAAGTGGTGGACAATACAAACAGACCGTTAGGACTGAGTAAAGGATGACTTTGACCCCTAAATGGAAGTAAAAATTAGAGTACTTTAGGGAAAAAAATTTGGGACTTTGAAAACGGACCGCTAAATACAGGGTGACCGCTTACTACTGTGCTGCTTAATACAGGTACCATTGTACGTTTCCTTTAACCCCTTCACTCTCAAGATGTCATCATTAACTCTCCTTACTGTCTGCCATTCAATAATTATTATGCTTGTTCGGAGAATTTGGTATTGGATCAACTAATAATCCCTAAATTAATATCATTCTTAATTTTCATCACCTTTCTGTCTGACATTGTATAGATTTTGTAGGGAGAAATTCTGTCTTGGTCAGTTATAGGAGTTAAAGGAAAACACTTTTAACGAATATTTCGGTAACGTGAGTGGGAAAGCGCATACCGTAAAAAAATCAAGACCACGAACGTTGAAAACATTATCAGTTGGAAGTTGATAAAAGTCAAATTATCAAAGGTTGCCAACTGCGACAAACGCTAGCGCACAAAACTTAACCTCATTTGCCTAATCAAATGCAAAGATTTAACTCTAAATCAACCTGACTACAATTTTCAAAATACATTTTAACTAAGCAAAAAACCTTTAAAGAAATGAATCTAAATTTTCAATTTCTTTTACTGAATTTTACGGTCAACGTTTTCAAAAATTTTCGTTTCAATGATTTTGAATTATGTAAATTTTCGTTTCCTGAGCGAAAACTTTTTTTCATTAAGGTCTGAAAAATCCGATGAGATACATTAACGCTCTAAATTTGCCAACGGAGGCAAATTCAATTGCCTTGCTCTTGTTAAATATCCTCGTCCAATGTTACTTCCAGAAATCAAATAAAGATAAAATTCAATAACAATTATCGTATACGTGCCTAAATCTTAAACAGACGCTGTTGTGTTTTGAAAAATATTGCTCCAGTTTTGAGCTTTCTTTCCTGTGCATTTTAAATGGATATATTTGCGAGCTGTTTATTCAAGCTCGACTTAAATTGTTGAATCAATATAACAGGTATGAATGTTTGCAGCAGCAATATCAGATTATATTCTGCGCCAAAATTTGAACAAATCAATGAAAATGATTGATTTGGCCAGTATTCAAATGTCAGAAATTTAAGACTACAAGTTAAGTTCGTTTTTTTCACAAAATTATATGACAGGTCGTACAATGCATCAGCCAATCAGGTGCCAGTTAAAAAAAACTGGTCTCCATAGTTTCAGAAAATGACACGTACACCTGTCGTAAACTTCACAACTGACGAATCACAAAGAAAAAGAAGGAAACGGGAAATAACAACAAATGGCTTTTTTGCATAATAGATATCAGCCGCTTTATTCCTGATTAAATGGCCTCTTACAAAATTTCACGAATGGAGAACTCATGACATTGTGGTTTCACCGAGAGCCGAGAAATTTGAAGACAACTTCAGGTGCTAAACGTCCAAAATCTATCGTCAGGGATGTATCGATGGGAATTTTGACTTTGCGGTGAATAACAGTCAGTATATTTCTTCGGGTAATAATTTCAGTTTCAGACTTTGCGGTGTGCATTTTCATCACGTATAAAAATAAGTTACGTTCGTTAGCGAACCTGGAGAGTGTTGCAAAGAAGGAGTCCTATCTATAACGTGAAGAGGCAGAAAGTCAATACACAAGCGTCTTTATCTCATGAGGATCCTCCAGTAACGTACATGGTTTATTTTAGCTTCAAAAGTCGTCGCGGCATGCTTGCCGCGACTTAAAAGCGACTATTAACGCTGGATTATTTTTGACTGATTGAATACATGGCAAATTACGCACACGAAAAAGAACAGATTCACGAACAGCTCGAACTAGCAAAGGAAACCCTGAACAAATTAAGGTCGCTTACGGATCCGAAAAGCGACTCGGAGAATTTACATGGTGTACCGAACGGTGAATCATCCACAATGAACGGAGAAAGTGAATGGGATGGTTACCGAGAGCTCAGGCAAGACAGCGACGAGGGAGCAAGTTCTGGAGTAGGGATGGAATCGCCAAATTTGGATCTTAGCCCGCACGAAAGTACAGATTTTATAGAAGGTGATAAATCACGAGTGGTGCGTGATAGTCTGGTGAGGGTGCTGGGTCTTCAAGTATCGAAATTAGAGGACGATCTAAAAATGTCACTGTTGTCCTATTTTGAACAAATGGAAGCCCAGAAAGAAGATTTAATCTCTAGCTTTGAAATTATGCACGCGCAGCTTTTAAGGCATCAAGAATCTTGCCAGCAGCATCGTGAAGAAGAAACGGAGAAGGATGCTTTAATCGAGCGGCTGAAAGCTGCTAAACAAACACTTGAAACGGATGTGGAGACATTAAAACGAGAGAATATGCTACTAAAAGCGACGGGTAATTCTCGCCCACGTGAAAATGGACTCCGTGGTTATCGAATAAAACCTGGTTACGTTGAGCATGACGACCTAAGCGAAACGCTCATGAAAGAAAATTCTCGTTTAAGGGAAATGCTTCGTAAATACGAATCAAATGATTATGCTAGACTTGAAAGAAAAGTCGCTCTTCAGGAAAAGCTTTGCGAGTCCTATAACAAAGACATGAGCTCTAAAGATAAAAAGCTTAATCGCTTGGAAGCTGAAAACAAAGGTTTGCATGAAGATATGAAAACACTTCAAGACGAAATTTTGAGGGTGAATGCAACACGTTTGAATTCAGAGCGAGATAACACAAAATTACAGCAAGAATTGCAGTTTAGCGAGGAGCAAATAAACACTTTGAGAGAAAAGCTTAGTAGCTCGGAGCAAGAGCGTATGTATTTACAGCGTTGCATAAGCGACGCAAATTCCAAAGCAAACTTGCCTGAACTGGAGAAAGGCATTTTGGTGCTACGCGAGAAGTGCGAAAGTTACAGAGATAAGCTGAACGACAAAGAACGTTTCCTTGAATCTGTGTGCAAGGAGAAACAAGGATTCATAAAAGCGATCGAAGAGCTGAAAAGAGAACTGACCGCTGTTCGAGGCGAAGAGAGGTCGCTGAAGATAGAAAACGAAAGACTACAGAAAGAAAACGCAGATCGGGAGATTGATCGTTTGAGCTCAGAAACGACGACTGAAGCACAAGGAAGCGAAATTACTAAAATGAAGCTGCATCTACACGAATTGCAAGGAAAGGTTGATGAATTGGAGCGGCAAAAGAGACAACACGATGACAAAGAAGCGCAGTTAAGTCAGGATGTTCTCGCGAACTTGGAAAAATACACCCAAGTTGAGCAACAGTTGTATCTCGCTAAGAAAGAACTCGCACAAGTACGCGGATTTTACGAGTCCAGTGAGGAAAAGAAGAGAGATCTACTAGCAGAAGCTGAGAGGTCTAAAGAAAAAATTTCGATTTTAGAGAGAAGGATACAATCCAAGAAAGTGAATGAAGAAGACGAGCAACGAGTTAGTGATATTGAGAAGGACGTCCAAGAACTGAACTTGGAAAATCAAAGATTGAAGGAAGATTACGAAACAAGCAAAACAGAAATCGAAGAGTTGGAAGAAGCATTGCAAAGCGCACGGGAACAAAACTCTTTGCAAAGAATGAGATTAGACGCTCATGAAACTCTCATGAAGAGGAAAGATGAAAGAATTAAAGAACTACAGAATGAACTGTTGGAGCTTCACAACCAAATGGATGCATTAACCGATGAAATTCTCGGAAAAAATCGTCAGATGGAAGGTCTACGAATGGCGAAGATGTTGCTGGACCAAGAATTGGACCTACTAAAATCTGGAAAATTACCGATGCGGTCACCCCAAAAAGAAGGTGCAGCTAAAGATTCCTGGCCATTTAACCCCACAGCGGGTCCGGCGAGTCCAGATAGCGGGTTCTCAGACCTGGAGAGAGAAAAAGCTATTGACAAACTAAGAAGAGAAATTCTCATCCAAAATAAATTTCATCCTCAACAACCCGTTTTGTTCGAGGAAAATGTGGCAACAAACGAGGACAGTAAAACGAAAGCTGCACTTGCACTGGAAGCTCGCAGGCTAAAAGAAACTGAGAAGCGACTGGCGGACGTCATTGCTGAGAACGAAGAGCTTAAAGATCGTGAAGAGGAAGCAAGGAGCTTACAACTTCAAATCGATTCGAAGCTTCGTAAGATGATGGAAGAGAACAAGGAGTTGAGAGAAAAGGAGAAGGTACTCGCGCAAGCATTGAAGGAAAGCCACAACATTAAATCACGGGTCGAAAATCGCGTGCAGCAAAATAACCCGCAGCAGGAGAAACTTGAAGATATTTTGCTTTTTGTCGACGAACCGATAGAGACAGCCATTTTACAACCTGTTGTGGAGGCAGGTTTAGAGAATGATGTGGAATGTTTAGAAAGTGAACCTGATGGAACACTCATAAATTTTGCCGATGAACAAGATGGTCCGTCTATGAAACCTGTGATCGAAGGTGTTGATGAAATTCAAACCAATGAGAGGGAGCTGGAAGGTAAAGTTCGAGATTATGAAATAAGTCTGGCCAAGATGGCAGAAGATAAGGAACAATTATTGTCAGAATTATCAAAAACTCAAGAAGACCTAAAAGTTATGGAGAAGAATTGTATCTCTGTTCAGGAAAACAAAGACAATTTTCAAAAGATAATGCAAGAGGAACTATTTGCAAAAGATGAAGAGGTTGCCAAGTTACAAAAAGAGCTGTCCGCGTTATGCAATGAACGAGAGGATCTAAAATCCTTTGTAAATAGCTCCAAGGAAACAGGTTCTCACGTTGAAGAAGAGTTGTTAAGGGCCCAGAAAATTATTCTGGATTTTGAAAGAAATCAAGGACTTTCACGCGAGAGAGAACAATCTCTGCAAGAACTACTTCATAAATCAGAAGATAGCAATGCAAATTTGCAGGTACAACTAAGTGAAGCCCAGAAACAATGCCGAAATGCAGACCAAGATGCTAAAAATTTGCAGCAGCAGATTCTTCACTTGCAACGAGGTTCTGTAGAATTGGAACAAGAGGTTAATGATTTGCAAAAAATGCTCTCTGAGGTAACAGAGAAGGAGAGGGCTGTATCTGAACAGCTTGAGAAGTGCTCCGATGCCCAGGAGAAGCTGCAAAGAGCACAAGAAGTTATAGTGGAGCTGGAGAGACAACAGGAAATTTCACGCAACACAGAAGAAACCCTAAAAGCAAATTTAAACCAATCTGAAGAGAGCTATGCCAATTTGCAAGTTCAGGTGGGCGAGAAGGGGCGTGAGTATCAGAGTATGGAACAAGAGGCGACAGCGTTATTACAAGAAATCGCTCTTCTTCAGGAGGGTTCCGCAGAATTAGAGAGGGAAGTGAACGAGTTACGAGAAAAGATGGCTGAAGGAGAAGAGAATGAACAAAAAGCTTCTGAGAGTTTGAGAAATTTGCAAATAGAAAACGAACACTTGCAAGAGCAACTGGTGAAGGCCAAAAACAGTTTAGAAACTTCACTACTGGAAAATAAAGATGAGATTTTAGCGCTGAAAGAAGATATCAGAGAGAAGGAAAATCAGATAGAGCAACTTCAAGACGAATTAAATCTCTCTGAACAACGATATAGTGAAATTAAGTCGTTATCGAGCAACAATCAAACCGAGATCTCTGATCTTCATGCAGAACTCATTGAAACCAAAGAGCAATTTTACACGGTTTCACAAGAAAAAGGAAGACTTACCCACAATTTGAAAGATGTGGAACACACCATTGCAGAACAAGATGAAAAGATCCAAGCTTTGGAGTTGGAGAGGAAAGAAAATAAGAAGATTATTTCTGAGAAAGAGAACAAAGTGGAAGATCTTGTCGATAAGCTTGAAGATTACGAAAGTGAAAATAGTAAGTTGGGAGCAGAAAACGAACGTCTGAGAGCAAAATTGGAAGAAGCAGCGGAAACGCAAAGTGAAATGGAACGATTACTGGCTGAATCTAAATTAGAAACGAAAGAATTTGAGCAGCAGCTATCAGCAGCTCATGAAAGTATAACAGATTTGGAAACAGCTTTCGAGAGAGGCGAAGACAAAAATGCCCAAATTGGGGAAAACTTGCGCGAGGCCAAAGAAAGAATTGCAAAACTTGAAATACAGCTGGATGAGTCGCAAAGAGAGAGTAGGGCATTCGAAAGGGATTATAATGATATAGAGAAGGACCTTGAAAAAGCACACGCGTCTTTGGATTCAAGCAAAGAAAAGATTGCAGCTTTGGAGAAAAAATTGAGAGCAGCAGAGGAGAGTATTGCAGAACTTGAAATGGCTAGAGATAATGGACTATCAAACGAACAGTTCTTACAGCAAAAGTTTTCAAATGCAAAGGAGAAAATTGACAAAACCGAAGCAGAAAACAATGACTTGAAGGAGAGACTGACAAAGATGGAGAGGAAGTTCAATGATTCACTTTCCAAACAACAAACACTTGCAGATAAGAAAGAAGAACTGGAGAAGACAACCAATGAAATTCGCCACGAGCTTGAGTATGAAAGAGAGAAACGTTTAACTTTGAAGCAGAAACTCGAAACCAGAGATAGAGATAATGAAGTTATTCAAAGAAAAGTGAACTTGTTGGAGAAGAGTAAAGCCGAGAATGAGGACATTCAACACAGAGACATGGAAGAAAAAAACAAGTTGCGAGAAGAATTATCGAGGACGAAAAAGATGTTATCCGAATTGGAAGTAACAAGAGAAAATCAAGAAGAAAACATCAACGAAATGGAAGATTCGTTAAGAGAAATGCGAGGGAAAACTGCCTCTCTTGAGCAGAGACTGGAAGATGCTACACGAGATAATGCAGACCTACATGAGGAACTTGAAGAACTTAACCGAAAGTTAAAATACTCGAAGGAAGAAAACTTAGAATTGGAGAAACGCTGGCAGAAACAGAAAGAAATCAGTGATGAATTCAGGAATAATTTAGCAGAACGTGAAGAGAGCGCTTTGAACTCAAACTACAACCGTGATGCAGCCGAACGAGCTCTGCAGTCTGTGAAGAAGGATCTCGCGCGCAAAGAAGCCAAGTTGAAAATGCAGAAAGAACACATTGATGACTTGGAAAATGAGTCTGAAAAAGTCAACAAGAAACTCAGGGAAACCGAGTTGTCCTACAAGAAAGTAAATATCGAGAATGAAAGGCTTTCAAAAGAATTAGCCGACACAAAAGCCAAGCTAGCGAAGTTGGAGGCGATGTATAAAGAGAAAGCAAACCTTCCGACGGATTCCGAAGTTGCGGTCGCGAGAGTGTCGGAATTGCAGTCTAATCCGGAGAGAGCAGATAAATTGATTCGAGACTGGTCTGACAAGTTAAGCACCGCTCAAATCAAAGTAACCGACTTGGAAAACGAACTCCTAAAAGATATAAAGAAACACGAAATAAGGGTGCAAAGGACATCAATGGGAGGCAAGGATTGGAGGAGAAAAAGCGCTGATAATCTGTCAGAGTACGGAAGGCCGAGCAGAGCACGACAGCGACCGAACAGGAGCCGAGACAGCTCCGTCGATTCACTTCGATCAACTCAGTCCATGTTCGACTTTTTCGACGAAAGTAGTGTACTTAATGAAGACAGGGCACCCAGTAATTTATCTAGGGAGGATATGCCTGTGGAATCAGATAATGAGAGCACGATTAGTATCCCTGTTGTGAATGTAATTCCATGCGATAGTATTACTGCTGATAAGGTAAAAACAAACACACAAGAACGTTCACAGAAATTGGACGATGATAGCAGGGAAGTCTCTGGTGTCCAAGTTAATAAACCAGTCAGAGTAGATACTCCTGATACCCCAGCTACCGAGGACATTATTGACATTATAGAGCCACACATCGATTTCACGTCACCAGTTCTCGAAAATTCGCCAGGAAAGCAAACAGCTTCACCAGAGATGACAGAAGATCTGTTCGATATTACTCGAGATTTACCAGATTTCCACACCGATTACAGCCACGCTGACATGACTGAATCGCCGAGTGAAAAACAAACTGCAGAAGACTTCGCAGACGATCTGATTGACGGAAATAACCCCTACATTGACTACCAACGATCAGCGGTCACTGAATCTCCACCAAGTCGAGCAACTTTGACGCATACGGCAGATGATGGTCTTGATTTAGGAGTAGATGATGCTGTTACCTCGCAGATCGACTATGAACCGTCACAGGAATACCAACAACCGCTGTTGATTAAACCACCTTCAGATGATCTGTTTCAGTTTGAGTCCCAGGCCTCTTACACCTCCACCCTGACAAACGTCACTGACCTGACTTTGCAATCACCATCTCCCCCTGTATTTCCTGAGCAAACTCTGCTGGTCTCGTTTGATCCGTTAGATCTCCCACAACCTCAGTCTCAAGACAAGAACGATGAAGAAATCCTCGATCCCTTTGAGGAACTAATGAGAATGAGAGAAAACCAACAGAATGTCGACGGCAAAGCAACTGGCATAAATGACAATGGTGATGTCTTTTTTGACGTCACAGATGACTTACAAAGCGATGAGGCTGATGTCACGTCGAACGATGACGTAGATAGTGTTGATGTTGACATCACTCACGTTAAACCAAACAACAACTCCTACACTAATCACAAGACGCTCGGTGACGTCATTAACTCGCCGAAAGAATCCGCTCCAGGCCCTTTCAACACTAAAGATACAAAGGTTGACGGAGGGCAACCAAGCAACTTGCCAATTGGAATTGGCGATATAAATCATGTGACAAGAGCTAAGGGTAATGTCGTCAACTCTCAAGAAATAGCTGAACCGGGACCAGTCCCTCAACCAAGGAAAATTAAAGACAAATTAAAACCTGCACTGTTTCCTCGAGGGAGCAAGAAACAGAAGAAAGAGATAACAGAAGCTCCGCAGTACAGTGTTATGATTATGGTAGACGATGTAATTGTGCCAGCGCCTTCAGACAAAAATTCAAGCTCTACTCGCGAGGAAAAGACGAAGAAGAAGCGAAAGGCTATGACTGCCAACATCGAGCAAGGTGACGAGATTTTTAAATCACCGAGTGAAATAAGGAGGGAGTTGGAAGAAGCCAGTAAAGGTGGCCAATTAAAACAAACTACATCCAAACAAAATGAACGAAAACAGAAGCAGAAAGTTACTGAAAAAAAATCTAATCAGTACCACATTGAGGAAAAGAAGAAAGAAGTAGTATTGGAGAAGGGTGAAACTGAAGATCAGGATGAGGCAATGGGAAAAGGACGGCTCCAGAAATTAATCGCAGCTTTTGATAAGAAATAGAATTGATTTTTTTTTTAAATCTTTACATTTGTTACAACGGTAGAAAATGTGAGTCTTAATGGAGTGAAAACACATTCTAGCCAGCCTGGGAAGTTGGTAAAAATTTTACAAAATAATAATTCAAAGTAATATCTTTCAACAACGCAAAACTAATTTTTTATTATTATTGTTCTATTTGTATATAAATTGTTATGTATGGATAATCTCCAAACACCCATGGCCTCAAAATAAATTTGAAATGAAAATTATCTTTGCAAAAAAGATCAGGACAACTTAAATTCTACTTAGGAGAAAAATTTGTGCTTAAACCCAAAATTGACCCTAACATCAGTGTGCATATTCTCCATAGAGTTCCCTACATATTTACTAAAAGTGCTGACAGGGAGAATTTGTTTAACAATCAAGAGCTTCTTAAATTTGTGATAATTTCTTTAACCCTTTAACTCCCATGATTTTGTTAGTAATTCTCCCTACTGTCTGCCATACAATTCTTATGATGTCAATTTGGAGAATTTGGTATTGGATCAACTAATGATCCCCTAATTGATATTTTACTTTATTCTCATTACTTCCTTGCTTTATATTGTATTGATAGTGTAAGGAGAAATTCTGCCTTGGTCACCCCTGGGAGTTAAAGGGTTAATTCCTTTAACCTTTGAGTGTGATTCAGCATTGATACTGTAAGGAGAAATTAGATGCTGGTCACTTTTAGGAGTTAAAGGGTTAAGGAAAAGTAGCAATGAAACTTTCAAAACATTACTTTGTATATAGAGGTTATTGAATCTTTTATTTGATTCAGTTTCAAAATTTTTATTTTACAAATAACTAAATTCGTAGAGAAATTCAATGGTCTAAGTGAGCTCTTCAAATATTCCACTCTGGGACCACATACAAAGGAGACTGATGTGAAATTCAGCTTGTGGGTTTCCAAAGAGTTTCTGTCCAAAAAATAGAATACATATATTTAATATTCATCGCTTCATGGGTTTATATGGAGCCAACATAATGACCAGCTCCCAGTTGGCTTGTTAGCTTAGTCGATAGAGCACTGCACTAGTATCACAGAGGTTATGGGTTCAAATTCTGTACAGGCCTGAATTTTTTTCAGGCCTTATTTTCACTACTGCTCAAGTAGTGTTCATTGCTGCGAAGATCACTTTCATATTCATATCTTTATCCACAGTTCACATATATGTTTTTCATAAATTCACAGTCATTTAGTTCATATACTGTAAATATTTTTAGTCAACTTTACACAGTTTAGATGCTGATACTTTTTAATTTATATTTACAAAGTAAGATGTATTTCATAAAAGCAAGGAAATGTTGTACAAACAATTCATGCTTGATTGTGTTGGCCAAATTGAGAAATTTCACTTAAACAACCAAGAAGATTTTTCACAGATCTGAAACTTAATTCTTCTGACTTGTTATAGAAGGCCAAGAAAAATCTAAAATAATCCTATAAAAGGGGTAGGCTTTTATAGAAACTGTGCTCCTGCATCGGTGGGGGAGTATAACAAGATAATCTGGTTTTTTTAACTGAGTTGATGATGCAAATTGGCCACTAAAGTTGACGTTTCAGTGTTAGTCCCTCTGTCAGAGCTAATGCTCAAAATTTCAGCAAAAATAATTATAAGTTGATGGTTACTAGTATTTTGTGGCAATGGAAGATCTTACGTCATTGCATTGAATAACACAGAGTATGTTACTTCAACAGTTACATTGTATATATGGCACTGCTCAAAATATAGTGATAGTTTTTTACAGGATCAAGTTTCATTGAGTTTGTTAAGATAGTCTTTGAATAAAAAGAGGAAATTAAACAGAGATGATTTAGAAATATTCTTAATAGTGTTATATTAAGAAAATAAATTTGCTGCTTGTTAGAACTGAGTGGAGTGAGTCAATACTGTGTCAGTTGGAGGCTAAGGGAATTTTAACCCCTTTACAAGCTAACATCAGTATGTATATTCTCCATACTGTTCTCTATACATTTCTTTAGGTACTGACAAGGAGAATTTGTTCTATAATCAAGAGCCTCTTTTAACAGTTGGTGATCATTTCCTTTATTCTCCTGCCCTTGTGTGTGATTGACAGGTGATGTTGAAGGGAGTAAGTAGATGCTAGTCACTCTTAGGAGTGAAAAAGTTAAGAGTTTAGAGATACGCTGTACATGAATGTGGTTCCTCTAATTGACTTGTTAAAAAAAAAAAAAACAGGTTTATATACTAATCAATGAAGAATAAGTAACAGAGTTTCTCACCAAGAGTCTGGCCTGTTCTGGGGTTAGGGTGTCACCTTCTTTGCAGATTTGGAAATCAGTTTGAAGTGTTATGATACCTATGAACAAAATTATTTTGTATTATGTTGGTGCTATGCTGGCAGAAGGTGCAATTACCTACTGGCTAGCGCACCAAACTCTGATTCAAGAGGTACAGGTTTAAAGATCTGGTGCAACTACAACATGTGCTCTAATGCAAGATTCTTTACTCTACCTGTGCCTACCTACTCAGGAGTATAAATGGGTGCTGCATGAAAGCCTGATAAATTGCTTATGAGAGGGAGCCTTTTAAGTATCAGTATTCCATTTAAGGATGAATCACTTTAAGGCACACTTTGGGTTTTTCTAAGTTATCAACTCTTCCTCAACAGCACACCTAGTATATGGGGGTGTCCCAAGATGCAGCCCCGTGTAAAAAGACAAAAACATCGCACACCCCAGTTCAACAGGAAGATCGCGTCTTTCACCTTGCCCACTGTTTAAATTACAAATTACTCATTCCTAAAAGCAATAAGTCCCCACACCCCCCCCCCCACCCCAAAAAAGAAATAGAATAGAAAAAAAGAAAATGGCGATAAAAAAGGCCTTCTATTCCTGTACACACAAATATGTAATGTACCTTTTTTAAGAGTTGTATTAAGTCCAAGCTGTCTGAGTTGTGGTTCCATCGAGTGCTGAAACTGATCCAGTGGACCTTGTAAACAAAATTAATATATTTTTCATTATTTAGATTGCCATGCAAAGAAACTGGATGTGCAAATTTCTTTTTGCTACAGAATGAGTTTTATACCTGCATCTATTGTGACATCATCTGTTGCTTCATTGCCTGACCTGGCATAATCCAGTTCACTGTAGTCGTTAAACCATCTAGAAAGCAAACATGAATGGAACTTATACAAGACTGGTGGAGGTAGTGACTCAATGATGACTAGATGGCTGCCTGACTGATTAACTGACTGACTGACTGAATGACTCACTGACCAACTGGCTGACAGACTGACAGACTGAATGAATGACTGACTGACTGAGTGAGTGAATGTATGACTGACTGACTGACTAGCTGAAAAGTTGACTGAAGTACACAAAGATAAAATGATGGAATGATTGAGTGACTTAATGGCAGACTGTCACAGTCAAATTTTACCTCACTACATCTTCTTTAGCTTGATTTGTAAACATCAATCCGCATTGTCCTTTTAATTTCTGGAAAACAGAAGGAAATAAATTTAGTTTTCTTCTATATTCAGGCAGTTTGCTAGTTTACCTATTTAATCAAAATTGTCACAAAATTCTAGAATGTGATTGGTCATCAACAGATTAATTTGAGCTTGAACAGAACAGTGTGCGCATCATGGTTGTATCTGGACTGTGTAACTAAGCACTGTATGTACGGAATAGGGGGTAGGAACTCTACCCCCTACTCAGGAGGGTAGGGAACATAGCTTCCAGTGTGATGGTCAGACCTTGTTTCCAAAAATTCCTAAATTGGGGCACCTGCATATAATCCCTTTCAAAGTTGTAAACTACTCAATGAAGCCTGGCTTAAGTCCCCTGAAGAGTACTGTAAAGTACACTAGAACATATTCATATTGAGAATGTCGTACATAAACTCATTAATATCATTATCTCAGCCCTATTACCATTAGGAACACTGTCAGCTCCCAGTTTTAATTTTGATTAACTTTTAATTAGAAATTTCTTTGGTATGGCTGTCAGGACAGTCAGTTAACCCTTTAACTCCAAGAAGTGATTCACATATAACCTCTCCCTACAATATCTACTCACTATCCAGCAAACAGGTAATGAGAATACTCAAATGTATCAGGTAGAAATTGTTTTCTTGATCTAACACCAAATTCTTGCAACCAATTTACAAGGAAATGTCTAGCAACTAGAAGGGAGAATTAACAATCAGATCCTGGGAGTTAAAGCATTCAGTTATTACTCACATTAGCTATCTTATGTAAGTTTTCCTTATATTCTGTTTCCTTTTCTCTGCCGAGGGCAATGGTCATGACTTTATTCTTTCCAAAGAAAAACCTGCAAGAGAAGAAAACAAAAACTGAACGAGGACTATTAACTCTTCACACCCTAACATCAGTATGCATATTCTCCATACTGTTCTCTATACATTTCCTAAGGTGCTGACAAGGATAATTTGATCAACAATCAAGAGCTTTTTGAGTTGCTGATCATTTCCTTTATTCCTGTGACCATAATGTGAGATTCAGAGATGATATTGTGAGGAGAATTTAGATGCTAGTCACCCTTAGGCATCAAATGGTTAATGCTACACTGTTTTAAATGAAGATCTACATAATTTTTTTTTTCAAGGTGTTCAATAAGTATGAAGAAATAAGACAAGTAAATTATAATTTTTGCTATCATTCAACTTACCTGCTATGTTTCCATTCATTTCTCACTTCCTTAAGTTTACTATTCCTCATATTTTCCACAGAGAATACGTACATGAAGGCATAATTGTCCACGCACTCTTGGATCTATTTCACAAACAAATCAAATAGTGGCGTATACTTTTTTTTCATCAGAAAATCAGCTGTAAACACTTATCGATAGTTATGTTAATGGATTTACAATAAGCCAGTTTACCTCCTTCACCAGTCCTGTTTTTAACTCTAAGCCCTTTTTCTTCGCTTTGGTCAATGAAACTATAAAAGAGATAAATATATTATTTGAAGAACGAGATAAAAATCGTATCTTATAAAACTACCCAAGGAGGAACGTCTGGTTTGATCAAATGAATGATCGAAGGAGTAATCGAAAGAATAAAATCTCCTAGATGTTCATTTGAAATACTTTATCATCACAAGCCTCTTTCCCAATTTGGAGGTACATCAGTTGGATGGTTTATTTGGACCCAGCATATCAACCAGCTGCGAGGATCTCTTATATTCGTTTCTTCACTGCAGTGCACATATATGAATTTCATGTATTTAAAATCATTATTGGAGGTACATGTTTTCTCAGCAGGAACTACGCCATTTGGCGTTGATTTCTTTCGTTACTCACACGATTAAATATAAAGAACATCAGAGGATACTTACCTGCCCTATTTCGTTTAGATTTTGGCATTTTGTGGATTAAAACCTTGTAATTTTGGGGTAAACCTCTGCGGCTTTATCAACTCCACGTGAATTTCTTCACTGCCAATGGGCATATCCGCTGTACACAATAAACAAATGTTCGTATAAGCGAGCAATACTTGGTTCCCTAATCGAAATGTTTTTACCCCCCAATAGGAAATTGCACCACCACGTTCTTCCCTTTCAATCGCCGCCATTATGAGGTAGGGAACAACTTTAACCATGAACCAAATCGAGCCATTTAAATCTCTGTAGTCGCTCTAGAATTAAATAGTAGGCCTGGATCTGAGAGGGAAGGGCTCATCTTCACCATGATTGTATTAATCGAGAGGAAAACGAGTGGAATACATAGAAATTCGATTTAGCAGTAGTGCACGTGAAAATAAGTAAACTTGATACTAGTGAGTCTATATGTGTCTTGGTTTGGAATACCCGATCTGTTTTGTTGTAATTCAGAGTTCGAGAACGGCAGATTAAGCTTTTTGCTCTCGTTAATAAAAATTTTTTATCACAAGGCCAAAAATGACACTATATATTGTCACTGCGACACTTTGAACATCAATTAATTTGTTGTCATGCAGTTTGTGTAGCCGGTTTGTACGGTCGAATTTTTATGGTGATGTTACTAGCGTACTATTGTTAAAGAAAATAAGTATTTAAAATTTCCTGTTAAATCACAGTGTAATTAAAGAGTTCAGCACACTTAGCGAGCAACTCCTTGCCTCTAACTAGGCTTAAATTTTTTGTGAATAATTATGGTGCATGTAGAGGTGAAGTGGGGTTTAAATTTGTCATAGAAGTGTTAAAACCTTCAGGTTGCTGCAAGATCTTGTTGAGGTAACTACAGAATGCAGGGATTGTGGGTTCTAGCTTAAAGACACCTTGTGGAGATGAGATGATCAGAATTGGCCCTGTATTCTGTATAGTTGAAAAAAAAAAGTTGTGTTCTGCTAACATGAGGTGTAGACTGCAATTCTGAAAAAATGTACAAAAGTATAGAGTTTGAGGTATACATTGTATGACTTAGCAGACATCACTGAGTGACTTGTGTTGATTTTCTCATGTAGTACTTTGCGACTACAAAAGCGGCTGGCAGCCAGTGTCCTTAAGTGTGGAAAAAAGAAGATTTGGTTGGATCCTAATGAGACAAATGAAATTGCTAATGCCAACTCACGTAAGTTCTGTTGTAACTGCTCTGAGTAAGATTGACAGTGAGAGGTTCTGAGGCTGGTTAAAAGGGCTTATTTTGTGTTTGAAATCTTGGTTAACTATTCTTTTCCTGGGTTAAAGTTCAATGAGATCACAGAATTGTCAGGTAGCCCAATTATCTGAATCTCTGTTACTTCATGGCAAAATTTAATGTTTAAGCACTCCTGCCTGTCCTAGGGAAACTGGAGTGAAAGTTTTGAATTACGGTCAAAAACGCCGATGGTCCAACTCACCAACGCCAACTCGCCGACGTATAAAATCGAGTAGAGACGTCGGCGAGTTGGTCCTCAATCCAATACAACTTATTAGAAGTTAAACATACAGAAAAGTAAACAATATTGGCTTTCTAGACAAGATCTTTGGTAAAAAGCAATTCTTTTTATTTGCAACAAAGTTTATAAGGATCTTAAGGTGAATAAAGCAAAGTAAACATCGCCAATGACTATATCCGCTTGAGACGCGAACGAGATAATTATTGTGTGACAACAACACCGTTTGTGTGTTGACTTTTTACCAAGCGACTTGACTTAAATAAATAAGACCAATTGACATGAGATCCTTATAAACTTTGTTGCAAATAAAAAGAACTGCTTTTTACTAAAGATCTTGTCTAGAAAGCCAAGTTTTCTTCAAAAAATCTGAGCGATTGACATGATGAGTCTTTACGGTGGTGTTGTCACACAACTCATTCGCGTCTACAGCTTATTTTGTTCATTGGCGATGTTTACTTCGCTTTATTCGCCTTGATATCTTTATAAACTTTGTTGCAAATAAAAAGAATTGCTTTTTACTAAAGATCTTGTCTAGAAAGCCAAGTTTTCTTTTAAAAATCTGCGCTATTGACATGATGAGTCTTTACGGTGTTGTTGTCGCACAATAACTCGTTCGCGTCTTAAGCTGTTATAGTCATTGGTGATGTTCGCCAATATTCACCAATGTTTAAGCTACTGTTTGATGTTCACCAATGTTCACCAGTGTTTTTTTTGCTAAATGTCGTTTACTTTTCTGTATGTTTAACTTCTAATAAGTTGTATTGGATTGAGGACCAACTCGCCGACATCTCTACTCGATTTTCTACATCGGTGAGTTGGCGTCGGTGAGTTGGTCCGTCAGCGAGTTGACTGGATACCAAAGTTTTGACCCTTTTCATCTCAGTGATCAGTCTCAAATCTCAGGTCCTTAACCCTCAACTCCTATGATCTAATCATTAATTCTCCCCTCCTGCTGCTACATGTTTCCTTGTAAATTGGTTATGAGAATATGGTAGATCAAGGTACCAACTTCTACTTGATAAGTTTGAGTATTCTCATTACCTGTTTGCTGGATAATGTGTGAGTTTTTTGAGGGAGAAGTTTTGTTTTAATCATTTCTGGGAATTAAGGGTTAATAAAATTCCCATATGACCAATGGCAAAGTAGATCTGAAGACATGGCTTTCATGAACTATTTTTACAGGTCAAAATGTCTCTTTTCTTTTTATTTCGGTGGTTGATGTCATTGTTAATTGTTATTTTATAATTTATTGGTAAAATGTGTGGTTTTGTTGTTTTCATCTGCAGTTATTCTGTCAACCAATCATAGACTAAAATGTGCAATTAAAATAGTCAGTTTTAGAGAAGTATTACTAGTTTTTGCATGTTGTTATGATAAAGAAAACCCATTTCATTATACAATGAGTTAAGGATTGAAAAAGAACTCATCATTATTTGCAGGTCAAAATATCCGTAAGCTCGTCAAAGATGGTTTGATCATCAAAAAGCCACAGATCATCCACAGCCGTGCTCGTGTTCGAAAGGCAGATGAAGCGAGAAAGAAGGGTCGGCATAGCGGCTATGGTAAAAGAAAAGGTACAGCGAATGCACGTATGCCTGAAAAGACCATCTGGATGAGACGTATGCGAGTGCTCAGAAGGTTGCTTCGAAAATACAGAGAGGCAAAAAAGATCGACAACCACATGTACCATAATCTGTACATGAAGGCCAAGGGTAATGTGTTCAAAAACAAGAGAGTCTTGATGGAATACATCCACAGGAAGAAGGCTGAGAAGCAACGTGCCAAACTCCTTAGGTGAGTTTTTTTTGTTTTTGACTATGTGCTGTGGTGAGATAAATTGTGACCCTCCATGGGAAAGCGAACACTAACACTTTTCCCTTTAAACTGCAAAACCATTTACTGTCTGTTTAAATCTGTTTAAATGGTTCATGAGAGCATTTGAATGGTTTGTTTATCAGTTCAAAAAAATTTGCATCCATTTAACGCTTTAGCTAAAATGTTTAAGTGGTTTGCTTATGGGTCTTGATATCAGCAGGCTAGCCAAGTATTTAGAGAAAGTGACAACACTTTTGAGTTGACATGTTTCGACAGAAACGTCTGTCATCTTCAGTTAATTACTGTACAAAGCGTTGAAAGTTGAAGTATATAGTAAGTAGAACAATGCTAATTAAGATGAATAGTGACAACAAGAAAAGAGGTAAAGCATGAAAGTGTGAGAATTAAAAAGATAGTTTTAGATTTACATGGTGTAATTGTTGATTCAAGGATGGTTGTTCTCTTTGAATGTGAATAGCCTCTTTTATCTTAAGCTGAAAGCTGGTGGAGGCGTGAACTAAAACATGGAAATTATCTGTAGAACACAAAGCTCGACAATGTGGAGAATCTTTCAGATGCCTGAAAATGTGAGAGGCCCTGTCATTGACTAAGTGCTCTCTAACACGTGTGAAAAAATACCACTGATGTAACAGGCATTACAGCCAGCACATACAAACTTATAAACCACACGTGAATGGAGCCCGTCAGGGACAGAGTCTTTCACACCGAGCAAGTTACCGATTTTAAAGGAAGGGAAAACCAGTTTGATATCCAAGTCCAAGGACTTTGATATCAAATCCTTATTCTCCTTAATGTAAATTGGCCTCTGAAGGGAGATTAGAAAGCTGGTATTGTAAACCTAAGCCCTTTACCAGAGTGAATCATGAAGGGTGAAAGCTTGAAACATCAGCTTTACAATCTCTCTCTGGAGGCCAATTCAGGTTAATTATCAATGCAGTTAATAATACTAAATTATCTTGTTAAAAAAACTGGTCATCCACTAGTTGACATTTTGGTTCTCCCACGAATAGCTTTCCTTCTTAAGATTGTTATGAGCTGGTCAATGAATCTTCAAAATAGTTTGATTCACATGGTTTCTTACTGTCAAATTTATTGCACACTATTAAGCCGGCCTGGCCTTGTTTATATCAAGGATGGGTGACTAAGTGTGCATAAAACAATGCAGGAGTTTGTTCTGACTGATCAGTGTGTGCTTACTGACTGAATCAGTCCTGGGCTCCTATGACATTTGTGTCCCTTGTGCTACCACACAGGATTGATCACCACATTTATTCTCCTTACGTTGCTTAATATACTATCATGTAGTCAGGTACTGCAAATCAAGAAAAGTTTTAACTAAGTGATATAGTCTTGATGAAACACTGAATTCTTAGGAGTTGTTGATAAAGGAATGTGTGCTATTATTTAGGAGAATTCACTTAAAGATTTCAGGGGTGTTAAGTGCAAACTTTCTGTCTCCCTACAGTGACCAAGCTGAGGCTCGCCGCATGAAGAACAAGGCTGCGAAGCAAAGACGCGAGGAACGTTTGGAGCAAAAACGCAAAGATTTGATCCAGCAATTTGCAAAAGAGGAAGAAGCAGCAAAATAAATGTTAATAATCCTTCATTATGTTTGAATAAAACTTGTTTTGTGAGGGCAATGTTTGGTTTGATCTGTACCTTCTTCTTGATGAATTTAACACAACTTGAACTTAAAAAGCCACAAGAAAGAATCAGAGGGAAGTAAAAAATAATTTTCTTGTC